CTATATATGTATGTACGTTTGTGTGTATGTACATAAATTATATGAAATGGATAAAAATCATTATCTATACTATTCAATTCAACAGTATTGGTGTAGAATGTGAATGCTAATGAAATTTTTTTTCTTTAAAAAACATCAGTTTCCTTTAAAACTTCTTGGAAGTAGAATTTTATAAGTGGAAGAATCACTTCAATAACACTAATTCTTGAAAATAATTTATTCTAAAATTAACTCACCATCTTACATAAAGGGAAGAAACTAGATTATCGAAATATATGCAATACTTGTTTCTTTATATTGTACAGCATTTTCTATACTCATATTTCTACATGAGCACTTGTTACTTTCAGAAATAAAAGAACAACTCACAAATTTGTATCTTTTTTAAATATCCCTATTAAGAAAGATAAAGAGAAAGACTGAAGTTCCAACTCCAGTAAGTTGTTGGCTGACTTTAGTCAAGCAAAATCTGAAGCCTTTATTTTTAAACTAGGAGGTCTGAACTCAGTCATCCAAATCCCAAACTTTCCTAATTCCATGACAAGAATACACACGTCTACGCATCACAGCTCCTAAAGAACCTCCTCCCTGTGCACTTATCTTTGACAGTTCGGTGTATTGTTTCCTCAGTACTACTTACTGCTGCATCACACTTTTTTTAAACATAAAAACTGAGTAACAATAGAATTAGTTACCAGCCACTCTTTCCCCCCGCCCCTGGCACCAGCAGTCTTTATTGACTGCAAGGTCAAGTGAAGGGGAATTCAACTCCAAGGCCAGCATCCGCAGACCCACTGCATGCTGCACTCCGTAAGCTACAAACTACCCTTAAGAGCTCTATGGTTCTCACAGAAAAAATTAATTTGGAAAAGATAGCCTATATTAAAATGATATAGCCTTTGTACAATGATTTTTAAACAAATATTTGTCCCTGTTGATCAGAAAGATATTTTATTCTACCCAATGAATAAAAAGTGAGAAGCATTCTGACCTGCCCGGTGTATACAGTTTGAGCGTGCAACAGCTATCAAGTGCTTTTTAAAATAGATGAAGACATAAAGAAGGGAGTGAAAACAGGGGAGAGGATGCCATAGGAGAAAGAACCTTCTGATTGACAGTCAGCATCTCAGGGTCCTGGTCTCAGACTGTTTTTCACTAGCCAGGCCACCATGGATAAACCAGTTCATCTCTTTGCATCTCAGCGTCCCCATCTGCAAAATTAAGGGATTATACAACAAAATAATCTTCAGTGATTCTTCCACTTATAAAATTCTACTTCCAAGAAGTTTTAAAGGAAACTGGTGTTTTTTAAAGAAAAAAATTTCATTAGCATTCACATTCTACACCAAAGATGACCAAACTCTGAACGTTTAAGAGCCACTTATCTTTAATACATCTACCATCTTCTGATTTAAAACCAGGCCAAAAAAACTGAGACAATCTGTAGCCAGACATTTCTACAACTCTGTCATGCAGACCATGCCCAGAAGCACTCTCAGGACTGTGAGGGCAGAACCAGAACCTGGAAGAGCAGTTCTTGTGCCATATTTCGATGCCAAGTGCTCTTCAGGGTAGAGCATTAACCCTCAGTGATATCAAACATAACCTGACCCTCACCTGAATTCTGTCCCTAGAAAACCTGAAAGTCTGGTGGTTCCACCCTGCTCGCACCTTAGGGTCACAACCCAAGGGTTTAAATCATAGGTACGCCCGGGTCCCACTCCACACCAATGATAGCAGAATCTGGGAAGAGTCAGTAAAAGGAATTTTTTTAACTCCTCTGAGTAATTCTAATATGCTGCCAGTTAAAAACCACTGAGTTAAATAACGAGACATACAAAGAAAAGGAAGGAATGAGAACCGTTTTAAAAATAATTAAAAAAAAAAAAAAAGAAAAAAAAAGAATGACAGACTTCACTTAGCAGCATGCAGGTGCCTGGCGTTGTGCTTGCCGGTTTGCGCACGACACAGGAAAATACACACTTAACCACAGGAACTCGCAGGACAGTAAAAATAAAGAGTTTAAGAAAAACGACTGCCTGTCACTTTCTGAGGAAAATGGAAACTTCTTTTAAAAACTGGGTCAGAAACAAGCTGTGTCTTAGGCAGTTAAATGTCAAGACATGGCTTTGGGCTGGGGATGTGGCTCAGTGGTAGAGCCCTTGCCTTGCATGCACAAGGCCCTGGGTTTTGATCCCCAGCACCACCAAAAAAAAAAAAAGGACATGGCTTTGCTGTTTTACACCTATTTTACACATTAGCCACCCACAGCTTCCCCTTGCCTCTGAGTTAATCCTTCTGGTCTACCTCTATGGTGTTTTCTACTCCTCCTGTGAGCACTCACACGTTAACCCCACTCTGTGCAAACTACCTGCTCCCCAGGGTGTCAGCATCCAGCTCACGTGTCCAGGGAAACGCCTGACCAACCCCTTCTGCCCAATTCCACAGCTGCAGTTTTACCAATACCCTTATGTGGGACTGGTAAAAAAGGCAACAAAAACAACAACAAAATCCACAGGCCTTTCTCTGGCTTTTTCATGGACCTAGCTATCACACAAGCCTGGGTGAGCCTTCTTCAGAGCTGCATTTCCTGATCTACCATTTGAGCCTTTTGGACTAATATTATAAAACCTGAATACTGACCTGCTAGCTCAGCCTACCAACTCACCATCCTGTTTCTCCTCCAGCCAAGCCAATCTGTGGTCAGTCTCCTGAACACGTGCATTCCCACATCCGTGTAAGTGAAAACCTGTTGCTATTTCTCCAGTAATTCACAGCATTAGCAACTACTGGTCTATCATTCTCTTCAGTTGCCCAACAAGCCTGCCAGCCCCTGTCTGCTCACAGTCATGGCAGAGAACAGACAGCTTCTGTGTTAGTATCTATCACTATGAAACTGCTGCGGGAATCACTGGTGCTGCCCACAAATACTTCCCACCTGGAGCTGAATTCCTGGGCCTCCTTTTCCTAGCACTTCAGTGCCATGGTCTCTGCTGGTGCCACTTTCCTTGAACCCAGGCTCCATCTCCCCATTCCTCCTTTAGGTGCTCAGGGTGCCCAACCAAAGTTTCTGCTTCCTATGTCAGGTCCCTTCTGACCCAGCAAGTTCAAGTTTCCCTACCAGTTCTGCTTTGCTGTCAAAGTCCTGAACCCTTTTACTTGCAGCCAGTCATTTAAGGTACTCTCATATCCATTCTTATATTTAACTAACTTCTTGATCATAAACCTTGCCATCCAGATCATCAACAATCCAGCATATCTTCTGGCTGGCCCAGACCTCTGCAGGGGTGACTTCTGTTGTCCCATACTTTTCCAACACTGAATCTCTGCATGAGCAGGTCGTGAACATTTTCTGTAAATCATTTTGTTTCTGTTTGGCTATGACCGCCCCCCCAGGACTATTCTAACTTGCTAGCACCCATGCTCCTTGGCTTATGGTGGGGTTACATCTTGATAAGCCCATCAAAGTTGAAAACACATGAAATACATCTGACCACCTAAAGATCCTAGTCAATAGCAAAGGGCACAGGAAGGTGTCAGGTGCTGCTGATGGGAGCTATGCCCACTGATGCTGCCCAGCATTAAGACAGGGGGTTGTACTGTACATTGCTAGCCCAAAAAAGGATCAACCTTCAAAACTCAAAGTGCAGCTTTTACTGAATGCCTATCATCTTGCACCATGGTGAAGTTGAAACATCATAAGTCAGTCACCATCAGAAATTGGAGCATCCGTATCTTTCTGTGGTCTGGGTACACACCCCATGGGATAGATTGTTTTCCCATTTGCTTTTCATCCAGCCCCCTTCTTTTAACTCCCATCACTTCAGTCCTTCCCAGTGATGGAACTGGCTGTCTAGAGAGTAGTCATGTAGTTACATTTGGACGTTCTTCCTTTCCCAAAACAAAGGGATACACTGCGCAAGTCATGGGTGCCAGATCCACCCCAGCCCATTCTTTCTCCAAGATGAGATGAGAGACAAGTCATGTAAAATAATGCTAAAAATGAAGCCATTAGCAAAGCCAGAGAAAAAGTTTCAATAAATGTATAATCATCTAATGGTGACTTTATCTAGTCCCAAGTTGTTTCTGCTTGCCCAATCAGCTAATTCTGTTCATGTGCCAAAAAGATCTAGGAAAACTTTGGTTTCTTTTGGTTTCCCCTGCAAATATTTACCACCATGGATGGAGGACATTTCCTTAAATATAGACCATCTAAACCACTCATCTCTAACCACTGTGAGCATCACAGACTTCTTCAGAGGGAAGTTGGTGGTGAAAAGCAATGACAAATCAACTCTCCTAGTACTTCTGCAAAAACCAAACTAAGAACCCACCACAAACTGCTTACACTTTTAGATACTACAGAAAGATTATGTGCAGGGTCACAACCCATCCATGACTAATTGGTCCCCAGTGACCCTGAAACTGTTACCCATTCTTGGCATGCAGCACCTTGTTTGGGAACAGGAAAGTGCAAACAACACAACCTAACTTCAAACAAGATGTCAAAGTTATTCATTATCACAGACCAACCGTTTGTCCCTCCCTCACCACCAACTGCATTGTTTTCTGTGAGACGTTATATTTCCTAGAATAGCACCATTCAGTATAATCAAAGCATGCATTTGAAAAGTAAAGCAATAAATAAAAAGCTACCATTCTCTATCTCTGCTTGCAAGGAAATTTTACCAGCTAGCAGAACGGATTTTGTCCAAATTCATTGCAAACTGACCATGATCTCCCCCAAAGGCTTCTCTAATTTTCTGACGGCAATATTCCTTGCAATAAACCTGCTTAATCAACTTATTCTGACTCTACAAATAACTTATTAAACACCTACTTTATGCAAAATATCTTGTCCCAATCTGTTTGCTTCTTCTTTTACACACTTTTCTTTTTTCTGTTACCTCGGTGGCGAATATCTTAGGTATGTTTATTTAGTTGAAAGCCATCTGACACCACAGCATTAGTGAAATTCCCAATCCAAAAGTGAAACTCACCCGTCAAAACTGACTGAGACCGAGGAATCATTTTTCCAGCTAGAATCTCCAACAGAACAATCATTTGCCAACAGAAAAACTGAGAGTTTTCTTGAAAATCAGATTCCGTATATCAGTTCTGACCATGACTACAAGTGGGCTCTTCCTCAAGCCAGTGGGAAAAAGACCACAGTTCCAACTTCCACAAAGACTTGTGAGTGAGGAAACAACCCTCGCTGTGCTGCGTCATAGGGTTGCCCTCCAGAAGGCTACCTGACTCCGCCAGTGACCTCCTTTAACTCGTTCAAGGGTGAAAGCCTCCAGTTGCCTCCCAGCAGCTGACTTCAAGCTTAGATTCTGGCAAAGGAACGTATTCTTTATTAATGGGTTTTCAGCTTCTACAAAAACAAGTAAGGGTTGTTCCAGAGCATTAGTGCTGAGAGAGATGAGACAAGAATATGTTAGTTTGCAAGACGACTGTAACAAAGTACCAGATTGGGCACTCTACACATCAGAAGAGTATTGTCTGGCAGTTCTGGGAGCTAGAATCCAAAATCAAGGTGTTCACAGGGTGCTTCCTTCTGAGGGCTGTGCTCAAGAATCTGCCTGTGCCCCTCCTTAACTTTGATAGTTTACTGGCCATCTGTGGCATCGCTTGGCTTACAGAAGCATCATTCAGCTTTCTGCCTTTGTCTTCACTAGACTTTCTCTGAGTGTGCATGCATGTGCATGCATGTGTGCATGTGTGTGTGTGTGTGTGTGTGCATGCGTGTGTGTGTGTGTGTGTGTGTGTGTGTGTGCTCAAATCCCTCCCTCTTTTTAAAGGACACCAACACCAGTCCTGTTGAATTAAGGCCAACCCTAATGACATCACTGCAACTTCATTACTTCCATCAAGACCCTGTCTCCAAGTAAGGGCACATCCTGAAGCACTGAAGTTTAGGACTTCAATAAATCATTTTTTGAGAGAAAACAATTCAATCTATAATGGGAAAACATTTAAGATCTTGGAGAAAAATGAGGTTTAATAATGCAAGAGGCAAGACATTTCAGTCACAAATGACTGAGGATTTTTTTAATGATAGGAAGAGTAAGCCTATTTCTAAAGCTTTACAATTTCTCTGCTTTACCAATACTCAGATTTTATCTGCATAACCCCTCTGTCGAGCAGTCTTTTAGCATTTAGGAGTATGTTAAGGCTGGACATCTGATCAGATTTAAAGTTCAATAGTTGATTTGTTAGTCTGGATTTTCCAGTCAACAGAACTCAGTTTTGAACAGCTCCCTAGCATGTGGGATTTCATGCACACTTTTGTCTCTCTGGCCCCACTGTACTCAAAGTTTCCCCCAAAGCCTCTGTCATAAATTTTCCTAAAAGTAGATCATGTTTTTGACTTTGATGATGATGTCAGGAAGTGGTTGAATCTGCCATATATTTTGCCAAATATTTTGCCTTAAAAATTCAAATAAAGGAATCTGAGACTACTCCCCCTGTCTCCTTCCCCACCTCCCGCAGCATACCTAGAGCCACACAAAATGCAGTCCACCCTCTCATAACATGATGCAAGAGTTACTATAAAAGTTGTTGGCAACAACCTTTTCTTTATTATTTTCTGGCACATTTGAGAGCAGTCAGAGATTCAGGCTGGTGCACATGCTGGAAGGGTCACCCTTTCAAGCCATCTGGGTGCTGTGTCACAGTGCCCAGGACAACGGAGACCCCTTCTGATATTTCATGCCTTGTTGTTCCAAATCTCTCTTCCTGCTTCAGTTTGATAAATCAGCTGGTACAAAGCATGGTTGCCCATTGTACTGCCCTGTTAAACACCCACATCCCTTGATTTTCCACAAAGACTTCCACGTAACATTCGCTACTAACAAAAACCAAATGAGGCATTTGGGCGGGAGGTGGGAAGGTTGAGCTGTTCACTTCATTAGAAACATTTACCCTTCCTTTTCAAAGCAACCTCCTGAGAAAGGCAGGGGAGTTTTGGTTTAGAAAAAGAAAATACTAGTCAACAAATTAATTATTTAAACACATTCTATCCCCAAGAAATTTCTTACTCCCTGTAGTTATTTGTCAGGTGTTGTTTTTTTTTAAATTACAAAACATGTGCTCATTTTATAACTTCAGACTATACAGTGTAAAATTTAAAAAGCATAATGTAAAAAGTAAAAGTCTCCTTTGCCTTTATTAATTTCTCCCCAGAGCTAATCACTGTTCATAAGTAAATTCTCTAAACATATATATTTAGGCATGACGTATACAGTTGCTTATTCAAAAAATAGTATCTATTGGACATTTGACCTATAATCTGTCACTCCCTGGCATTTTTTTAAGAACAGTTTTATTTTTTCACCAGTGCGGAAATAACAACCAAGGTGTAACTCTATGAACATGGGCAGCTAGCTTGCCACAAGAAAGTCCAGCTGATTCTCGACTGCCAGACGACATTTTCAACAAGTTATCCCAGGAAAAATGGAAACTTTAGAACAAAGCTGGAGGAAGAGTATTTCCTGTGCTGTGGACAAAGGTGGGAGATTTCATTACTTCCAAGTGCCCAATTTTTCTACTAAGAGAGGATAAATGCTTTCAATTACATGAATTCCCATCAGGCGGACAACAATAGGCATGGGTACAATTCCATAGCTTTTGAGCAATAAAAAGTATATCACAGGATGGAGAACAGCACAAAGAGAAACAGCTCTGCCTCCATAATAAGTCGCTATCTGCAAAATGCTGCTGAAGCACATTAGCTGGAAATTTTAAGCAAATAAGTTGTACACTATTTCTGAGTGATTTACAATACTTCTGCAGAAAACTCTAGTATAATCTGTGCATATCTAGGGTATTTACTGATTTGGGGCTTCCATCATATTTCTACTGGGTTTTGTGGGTTTTTTTTTTTTTCTTTTTGCCTTCCTTTTCTCTTCAAACATTTTTCTCTCTAATCTGAATATTTTTGCTTTCTTGTATTTTTTTTTGCTCAGAAACAGCTGAAATAGTAAAACTAATCATCTCCAAGTCTAATTTGAGGGGAAGATAGATTTCTATCAAAGACTCTTCATCTGTCTAAACACTTTGCATCTTGTTATGAGATTCTTTGAAGACAAGAAACTGGGTTAGATTTATAACAAAAAAATTACACACAAAATTATCGATATTAGAAGTAATTATATCAGGCACTTTTGCTTAAAATTCTCAATACTGGTATGATGTTTAAGATTGTCAACTTGTTGGCTTGTAGTGGGTCAGTGAAGCGCACCCCTGGGTGAGATACGGAGGTGTGATACTGGGCACTCTCCGGTCCTTGGCTCCTTGCTCTCTGGCACTGTTCCCCCACTGTGCTTCCAGACTGCCGTGAACTAGGCAGGTGTGCCCTGTAACACCTTTGTATCAGGAAGTTCCCGCCTTGGTGCCAGCCAACCATGGACTGAATATCCTGACACCATGAGCCAAATAAAACCTCTCTTTTTTTAACTTGTGGGTGTTTAATACTTGTACCTCGGTGATGGGAATGTTAAGTAATACAATTGGTTTAATTCTCCTTTGCTTTGTTCATATGCACCCAAAGAGATACCACCTCTTGGAAAGAAGTGGGCAATTTTAGGATTAGTCTTTGTAGTTTAATTTTAATTTTGCCCAGTTATATTTAGCAATTATATTTAATTATAGTCACATTAAATTAAATATTAGTTACAGCTCTATGTCAAGTATATTTAATAACTGGAGTATAGCTGAAATTATATCTGGCTTTATTAGTCATGACTATATTTTTAATTCTATATAACAAATATGTCAAGAGTGTTTTACTTTGATTTAATAAATATTTATAATGAAATCTCTTGCAAGAAAAGTAGTTTTTCAATTTTAATTTCATTAACATTCTAAATTCAGCTCTGAGAAAACTATGACAAGCATCGCATAGTGCTTTCCTATTTATAAATGAAAAATTAAGAGCACATAATCCTCAAGTGAATTGTTCAGCTCTACAAGAATGTCACCACATAGCATCAGCATTAGCTGTAGAGATAAAGAATTTCCTTCTTGTTTTACTTATCTTGTCCTTGTCTCCCACATTTCAATTCCTTCTATTCTGTTTATTCCCTCCAGGCTAATGTAACCTGAGTTTTCCCAACCCCTTATCAGAACTTTTATTTAGAACTCTTCCATAGGCTCCCATGTCACTGTATCTTACCGCAACCTTCCATTTCTATTACTCAAAAAAATCTTTAAATCTCATTTTCTTAGAAGTTGATTGATTGACAAGAATGTAGCAATAAATATCCAACCCTTAAATCATTATTTTTACATGGACCTTTTATAGAAAGCTGGTTTGTCCCAGAACGCACAGTCTGCCCCGTTTAGCCTAATCTACCTTCTCTCCACTGCTTCCTCTCTCTCTAGCTCACCCTCATTCAGTCACATTTAGCCAAGAAATTCATTGCCCATTCAGTTACCAACCCTGTCAATTATAGATCCTAAATGTTCTTTGAAATTCCACTACTCACTATTTCAACTGCCAATGTGACAGCTCATAGAAGAAATAAAGACTGTGTCTATGTAACAGTGCTGTTAAGGACTATATACTTATGGAGTTATTATTAGATAAGTGCTATTAAACAAATCAACATGCCTGCTCAGGCTATTCAGGATTGTCCATTCAAAGTTGAGGAAATTCCACTCAAAACCAAAAGTTGTCTCTTCTGACAGCAGTGAGCCAGAGTTTAGCCTCTCTTGAAAAAACTTCTAGCCAGGTGATAAAAACTTTGTGACATCAGCACCAAAGTAATCTGTCTTCCATTTTCTATAACAAGATAGTTTCTTGTTTACTTTTCTCATTGCTGAGGCAAAACACTCAACACCCAATATTAAAGGAGGAAAGGTTTATTTTGGCTCATAGTTTATAAAAAGTTTCAGTTCATAGTCAGCTGGCTCCAAGGCAAGGTGGCATGGCAAAGGGGCATCACAGAGGAGACACAGTCCATGGCAGAACAGGCTGAAGGCAGCAAGCAGCAGGCCGCAAAAGTCAGCCTCCTTTCCTTTTTATCCTATCCAAAATACAAGCCTTTTGTGTGGTACCACCGACACGCAGCTTGGGCCTTCCTGTTATCCACACCCTAACCTACTTTAAGCCAACCAGTGGATAAATAGGACCACACATGCTTAATCAGTATCATAGACTCTAGATCCAGCCACCCCCAAAAGCCATATGAGTGTATGAGGCTTTTAGGGGGACATCTAGATACAGGCCATA